TTTAAGTGGAGCCACAAGAGAGTGGAGAGACACAAAACAATATTTTGATAGCAAAAGAAGGAGTCTAGCGCTCACTGTGGATGGCAAGCAATTAAACTCACACTTCCTTCTTCTTAACTTTTACATTTTCAGGGAACTGTCATTCTTCCACGTATTCAAGCTACACAAAGGGATGCTGGAGGGAAGATTAGAAAACAAGACCGAAATAATGGGGCGGGGGGGCTATTTTTAAAAATAGTACTACTTGTTTTTTGTAGAATTGGTAAATAGTGGACTAGGAAACAAATTGGGAGATTGATATAGTGCACTCAATTGGAATATGGTCCTTCAAATTATGGTATTAGTAATAGAGTAGTATAGAAATTGCTGTAGAGACAGTGATTACTGAGGAGTTTTATTAGAAACATCATATGTAATAAGAGTTAAGAGGATTTATGGGTGGATTATATAACAGAAGAGAACAAGAGAGAGGGCAAAAGTAACTTTCTAGGTTCTTGAATGAGAATCTAGTTGGAAAATGATATAATTGACAAAATAAATAAATAAATAAATAAACTTGGAAAAGCAATGGATTTGAGAGGGTGAAGATAGGTGGACTGGTCAAGTCAAGGGTTTGGTCTTGAATTTGAAAGTTTTGGATATTCATTTGAAATCCAAAGTAGAGGTATCAAACTGTTAGAACACTGATCAATTCAAATTTTTCTCTATCATCTATTTTAATGTCATAATTAAAGAACACATATAATATGTATTCTATATAAGATACAAAGTGCATTAATAAAGATAATATCCCTTCAAAGTCACAATCCAATATATAAGTATCTACTTAAGTATTTTCTCATTTCATTTATCTAATTCCTTTCCAGAGATAAAGATTAACCTGAATTTGGAGTTTCTTGTTTGCTTCCATTTTTGAAATAACCATTTTTGTTATGCATGTATGTGTCTGTAAATATACATTATTTACTTTTGCCAAATTATAAGCATTAACAACAAAAAATATTCTCTATTCATCTGGAATTTCTTTTAATTTTTATCTTGTGAGCACTTGGATTATCAGACTTCTTAATTTTCCTCAACTAGCATATGTAAAATGAAATATCAYGGAGTGCCTCATTTCTGTTCCTTTAATTACTAATGAGAAGACTAAAATTGTGAAACCGAGGTTAACACACATGGGAGACAGAGTAAGAAGATTTGATATAATTTAATTGAAGGGACAGAGAAGAGGACAGAAAACCATGACAGCAATAGTCAAATGGGTTGAAGGTGATAATGTTCTCCACTTAATGACAGACTTTAATCCCCAAATATAGAAAATAAAATGAATGACAAATGGATACATTCTCAAGTAATCCCCAAATGTATGAAATACAACAAATTTCAAAGAAATAAATTCTCAAAAAACACACTAATTCTTTGATATAAAGAGAGCAACTAAGAACAGAACAGGAAGGAAGAGCATGAGGAAAAGACTAACAGTAAACAAAGACGAATGGGGGGAGAGAAAGGGAGAGAGAAGGGAAAGGATTTGCAAATGGTAGGAGACCTTCAATGATACACAAAAGTATAAGAGGTTATGA